GTAATCAATCACTGAATTCCTGCCGTAACACTGTAAATCAACCGGAAGGCGCTGGGATGAATCTAGATAGACACTGGCTGGGTGGGGCCTCAGTAGTGTATCTGCCAGATGTTTGAGGGGCCGTGGCCCAAGTGTTAATGTCTCTTTCTAGCTTGTCGAGGGGTTTTCGGTGACGTTTTGTGTATGTTGGTAATTGTGTGTGTTGTGTTGTTGCACTTTTTTCGTCTCTTGGGAGTTTTTCTCCAAGTTGAGAGTTATCGGTGGGTGGTGTGCATGATGTGCAGGTCAAAGCGAAATGGTCTGTTTTTTGTTGATTCCAAAAAGCGGAAAAGCCAAGTCCTTCCCGCCAACCTCCTTTCCTCCCTCGATTCCTTCCTCCCCTCTCCCTCTCTTGATTGCAAGAGTTCTCTCTACTTTGTCCTTGTTTTTTTGATTGCGAGAGTTCTCTCTACTTTGTCCTTGTGTTTTTTTGTTGTCCGTCATTATGTCCTGGTCGAATCTCTCACCTTTCGTTCGTGATGAAGTTCTTATGTTTCCTGGAACGCAACGTGTGATCTTTTGCTTTGTTTCATTTTTTTCAGGGCCGCTTATAAAGAAGAGCACCCGTGGTTCATCAAAATGCGGATCGAAGAAGTCCAGTCGACGACAAAGACTCAGCGAGTGGCCACACACACTCATATCAAAGGACTTGGCCTCAAGGTAATAAAAATACGTAATAGCAGAGGGTAATGCTTCCAGTCATTATTATTATTTCTATTTCGCTCACCTTTCTCGTGCTCCTCTCGCAGAAAGGCTTGAGCTTTGAGCGAACCTGTCTTGTCCCGTGGGCTTAGCATTGATGACGACTGTACATTCGTTGCTGCCTTTCGCAACGATCGAATATCCTTTTGTGACCCCCCACGCTGTGATGAGGGGCACGAAAGGAAATGGGACCCCATCGCTCTTTCATGATGCGGATCATGTTGGCCATGTGGTTTGCATCACCCGTGGGGGAGGGGGTCTACCCTGTGCGTGCACTTAGGGTTGTTTTGCCATTGAGGTCCTGAAAAATCGTGGGGGGGGGGGGGGGGGGGGGGCTGCTGACCTATTCTTTTGGAGTCCTCTGGAGTGCATTTCTTTTCGCAACAAGATGTGTACTTGCCAGGTCGGAATTGGCTTCGTGTGCAATGATCTTTTGCCTGTGATAGCTTGAGTTTGCTTTCGCATGCTTTTAGTATTGCTTGCTATTCATGGATGAGCGCTCGATTGCGTCTCAGCCTCTCAGGGGGGTGGTTGGTTGGTCGTCCAGATGCTGAACATTGGATGTTATCAAGATTTTCATCCTTCTTGATTGCAGTGCATCCTCTTTTGTCGGAATGTTGATTGTTACTTTCCAGTGCATTATTCTGTGCAGCAGAAGCCGGCAGCAGAAGCCAGCTCGGTGATCCTTTCGTGTTTTCCTGTGTGGATTGAAGCATTCTTGATTGATGTTGCGTCATTCTGACTGACAGCCGATGGAATACTCGTCGCTCCTTTTCCAGGAAGATGGCACTGCCTTGCCAATTGCTGCCGGCTTTGTCGGGCAGGATCAGGCTCGTGAAGCAGCAGGGCTTGTGGTGGACATGATCCGTCAGAAGAAGATGGCGGGAAGAGCGTTGCTCCTTGCAGGTGGGCCTGGAACAGGGAAAACTGCTCTTGCTCTGGGGATTGCTCAAGAGCTAGGAAGTAAGGTGAGTATACTGCATTCCTACCTGCCCTCCTACCTACCCAGCTACCAACCTACCCACCTACCTACCTACCTACCTGGCTGCCTATCTACCTACCGACCTAGCTACCTACTGACCTAGCTAGCTACCTACTGACCTAGCTAGCTACCTACTGACCTAGCTACCTACTGACTTAGCTACCTGCCTACCTACCTACCTACCTACCTACCTACCTACCTACCTACCTACCTACATATCTACGCACCTACGTACCTACCTACCTACGTACCTACCTACCTACGTACCTACCTACCTACCTACCCACCTATCTGCCTACCTACTTATGTTCCTGTGTTCCTATTGACCCACCTAGCTACCTAGCTACGTACCTACCTACCTACCTACCTACCTACCTACCTACCTACCTACCTTAGTACCTATATACTGACCTACCTACCTACTGCCTGCCTGCTTACCTACTTGAGGTGTGTTGGAAACGATAGCGGGAACCAATCGTCTGCCTCATGCGCTCTTTGGACTGGTTGAGAGCTGGGAAGTAAGATAGGTGTACCGTATTCTTACCTGCCTGCCTACCTCCCTGCCTGCTGACCTACCTACCTAACCTTACCTACCTACGTACTGACCTATCTATCTATCTACCTACCTATGTACCCACCTCCCTCCCTCCCTCCGTCCCTCCTCCTACCTGCCTGCTTGTACCTACTGGAGGTTTGTGTAGTGGCTCCCCTGCCAGGCGAAAAAGTGCGGTGTTAGCAGTTGCATAATGTCTGGGCTGGCCAACTTGCCTACCTACATGCCCTCACAACAGGAGTATTCATTGTGCGCTTTGGTAGTGTTTGTTCTTTTCCTCACATTTAACAGCGTGCTTCTCTTCTGCCTGGTTAGGCCATAAAAGGAGGAAAACACTATGAAAGAAGTCTGACCTCAGGCCAGAGCTGGGCTTGGCCTGAGCAGACAGAATCTGGCCCGATCTTTGAATTTAGCCATGGTATATGTCGGGGGCTTTGGGGGTGTAAATGGGGTTAAAAGTGGTTTAAAAAATGTTTAGAGAGGTGTACCTTCAATTATTTTTTCAGTCGGCATGGTATAGCTAAGCGGGTGGTGGGGGTACACGATGCGCGAAGTTGTTTCCCCTCCGATTGTTGGCCTTTTGATCTGCACCATACCGGTCTGGAGTGACGCTAAGCTCCTTTTCTAGCTGAATGCCGGGCCTCACATAAGCGTCACGTAATTGTCCTTATTGGCAGCTATGTCGGTGTTGGAGATTCGGTGTGGCTTTAATGGACTGGCCTGAATCCGCAGCGAAAAACTAAATAGAAAAGAAAATGTGGCCCGCAGTACCTTCAGTTTGTCCAGCCATGAACTGTTGAAATACGGACCTGAGTTCGTAGCAAGAGGCACCAACACCAGATATGTGAAGGCCTGTCAGTATCAGGCTGCGTCTGTTGCAAAATGCACCGCGACCCGCTGAAAAAAGCAAGAAACAGCTGCTTTAGACCACCGACTGTGGATGGAGCGAGCGTGTTTTCGTAAGCACGAAAGAAAAAAAGAAAAGCAAAAAAAAAAAGTCAGCTGTTTCAAAGCACCGACTGTCATGGAGCGTGCGTGCTTTCACGTTGCATCTTGCGCCGAATGCATCAGGGTTTCTCAGGACGCGCATCTCGATTCATTTTCTTTGTGTTGGATGGGTTTACTTTTCACACTTCTGCCTTCACGCTGAGGTACTGGCTTGTCGCAGCTCTGCACTTTGGTCTGTGCATGGGTTTCTTCTCAACACCTCGCATTTGTGTTTCACGTTCTGCGTGTGTTTGTGCGTGCGTTTGTGTGTGTGTGTGCGCGTGTGTGTGTGTGTGTGTGTGTGTGTGTGTGTGTGAGAGAGAGAGAGAGAGAGAGAGAGAGAGAGAGAGAGAGAGAGAGAGA